AGCTCACTGAAGGGAAGAGCAAGAAGAGGAAGTAGAACATCTCAATTTAAGAGGCCAGGATTGGAAGAGAAAATAATAAAGAGCCCTGGCTGGTCTGGCTCAGCAGTTAGAGCATTGGCCCGAGGACCAAAGAGTCACAGGTTTGATTTGCAGTCAAGGGCACGTACCTCAGTCTCAGGTCTGATCACCAGCCCTGGTCAGGGTATATGGGAGGCAACCAATCAACGTTTCTCTCACATCAATGTTTCTCTCTCTCTCTCTCTCTCTCTCTCTCTCTCTCTCTCTCTCTTCCCCCCTCCCTGTTTAAAAAAAAAAAATCAATGAAAAAATATCCTCGGGTGAGGATTAAGCAGATCTATATATGCATTGTAAACCAGGAGACAGAAATTCCAGGCGTGGCACTAACTAGCTTGGTGGCCTTGAGTAAGTCTCTTACCTTCTCTTGGTTTCCTTTTACTTGCCTATTAAATAAAGCATAAAATAATACCATTTCCAAAAGCTGATTTCTCATCCTAAGGGAGCCACATTGGTCTGTCTGAAGTATCTGCCCTTCTGCTAGTCTTCTCCATCCAGGAGTGACATCCTCACCTAGCTTTCGGGGCCCACCTTTTGCTCTGGGAGACTCTAAGCACTATCACCCACACATCTCATTTGGCATTTGTCCAAACCGTCTGGAATCAGTAGCAATTTCCTCCTGCACATGTGTCTTGGCTTCCCAAGTAGACTGCAAGCCACTTCACTACTTAGACCGTTGTTTATCATTATTTACAAACCTTCACAATACCAAGTGCAATGCCTTGCATTCAGAGGACACTCAGCAATTCCTGTTTCCTTATTCATTCTAGATGGCAAGTGTCTGCGACTTCTCCCTCTTTGTGCTGCTCCCTGGTGGGCTTATGGCTGCGAAAGTAGCTCTCCAAACAGAATGAATTTACCAATCCAGTAAAAAGAGATCATCATCAAGCTTTAAAATAGGGGTAGTGAAAACAAAAGGCCCTGTCAAACCTCACTGAGAGAGAAGGGGGAACACCCTGCAGATCTCACCCTGCAGACCTGCCCTCTGACTGCTCCCCGCCCCCCGGAACGTCACTGTGTTCTCTGGTACGTGCGGCGACATGCTTTATTCACCACTGTAATACCAGTCTGAAGTAGAATCCACAAAATCCCAATAGTCTGGATGAAATTGAAGTTTTCCATGGATTATCCAGATTTTTCCAGGCTGGATTTTTCTTTAACACTCATCCTTGTATGTGTTGGTGAAGATCTAAGCAGCATACTCTTTTGAAATATCTGTAAACACTTTTGCTGCCTGGGCTATGAGATGATACCTTGAGGGTAATTATTCGGTGTATTTAACGCATTGCATACAGTGGCAAGATGCCAATCATGACTTTGACTACTGCGATGCCACAATACCCTCTGTATTACAACAGCCTTTTATTGCTACACATTTAAGTAAAAACTGCACCTCATTTATTTCTGCTGAATTCTTGCCATTCTTGACTCTGTACTCTCCCTGTGATTGCTTTTTTTTAATTATAAAACAGAAACAACATTCTCCAAAGGCAAGTCTTGATTCATTGAGGGTAAGTAAACCATGGTACACAGGCATGAACTTTATTAGTGAAGACACCTCTGTTCTTTTGAAATATATATTAATACTTGTCTTTAGGCTCATAATGAATATTTCCATAGTTAAGATTAAGGTAACAGCCCTGGCCAGTTTTGCTCAGTGATTAGAGCGTCGGCCGCAGACCAAGGAGTCGCAGGTTCAATTCCGGCCAAGGGCACCTACCTTGGTTGTGGTTCGGTCCCCAGCCCTGGTCAGGTCGTGTAGGAGGCAACCAATTGATGTGTGTGTGTGTCTCTCTCTCCTTCCCTCCCTCCCACTCTATCTGAAGATAAATGAAAAAATATCCTCTGATGAGGATTAAAAACAAAAAAGAATAAGCTAACATGTGAAAGTAAATAGCATGCACTCCATGAGATAGGAGCCTTTAATGTTTCTTATCCATTGTTTGCTTACCCACTAATTTGCAAACTTTCAGTAATTCACAGAGGATCTTTTTATCGGTGCTGGGAATTCATAAAATTATACTGAACCCACTAGTTTCTCTTCCCTTTGACTAATGATTTATCATTAGATTGTGTAACTGCATTATTGATATTAGCTGCTCTGGGAAAACAGGCCAGTATATTTGAAATGAAAAAAATTACAATACTGGTTAAGAAAAAAAGAAAACAATTTTACACTAAAATTGTTTTGCCAGTAATGGTATAGATGTAGGTTTTCAAAATTAATAATCGGTACCCAGTGAGGATAATGCCAGTTAACTGCATGCTGTCTTTAATGCAATGTAATCATGATTTCTTCTCGGTTCTTTCATATAGCTGCATTTTCCCCTCTTAGTTACCATTTGATTAATCTTAAAATGAAAAATCGCCAGTGTACCTAAAATTGTTCAAAAGAAGGGTGTTGCCCTGGCCAGTTTGGCTCAGCGGTTAGAGCATCGGCCTGTGGTCCAGAGAGACCCGGGTTCGGTTCCCGCTAAGGGCACGTACTTCGGTTGCAGCTTGTCCCCGGCCCTGGTTGGTCGTGCGGGTGGCAGCCACTCGATGTGTCCCTTCACGTCGATGTTCCTCTCTCTCTCTCCCTTCCTCTCTCTTCCTCCCACTCTATCTGTACAAAAAAAAAATGGAAAAATATCCTCAGGAGAGGATAAAAAAAAAAAAAAAAAAAAAGAAGGGTGTTTATGCCTGGCCGGTGTGGCTCAGTGGTTGAGCATCGACCCATGCATCAAGATGTCGCCTGATCGATTCCCGGTCAGGGCACGTGCCCAGGTTGTGGGCCAAATCCCCAGTGGGGGGCATGCAGGAGGCAGCCAATCGATGTTCTCTCTCATCAATGTTTCTATCTCTCTCTCTCTCTCTCCATTCCCCTCTCTCTCTAAAATCAATAAAGAAAAAAAAATGAAGGTATTTGTGACTTTTTAAAAAAATAATATAAACTTTGCTTTGAAGTAAAGCACTTCCCTGCGGTCCCTAGAAGACCGAAGGCTCCATGAGGACTCGGAGGCTAACCAGGAACAGGGGGCCGATAAACACTAACTGTGTGAATAACATACATGGATTTAGTACCAATGGACCTGTTAGCATTAGATTAACAAGTTGCATCAACAAACTATTCTTCAACATGAGCACTGCTCATTTTACATAAGTGATACTATCTTACAATTTATGCCACTTTTTAATCTGCACAGTTTATTCAAACACATTAATCTATTTAATCACAGTGCCCTCTGCAATTGGTAATATTTCCCCGCTAATTTACAGATGAGTAAAGAACCTCTAGAACCTCAAAACTCCCTCCTTGGCTGTAGATCTCTCCCTTTATTTTCCGGGCCATGGCCTGACAGCTATGTTTCTACAGCGAAAATGATACAGTCTCTTGGATTCGGGAGGGAGTAGCAGCTAAGCATAGAGATGATACATCAATGGTCCAAAGTAACAAATGGTTCAAGCTAGGGGATGGGTACACAAATCACTTTCTTCACTTCTATAAATGTATCAAATTTTCCACAATAGAGTTTTTTGTAAAGCTGAGGAATAACATTAAATAAATTAATGAAATGGTCTTTCTCAAGGTGTTTTGCTAAAGATAAGAGAATTTCTGCTGCCAGGTTTAAACCAGCTCCACCTATCAGCTGCATGAATCTCATATAAACCGGCTTGTTTATATCTAACTGGAAATTGGCTAAGTAGCTTTGCAGCGCAAAACTCAATAGAAGGCCCCAAATACTATAGAAATGGCTAAATCTCTTGCATTTTAGTTTACTGGAAATGCTACACTCTGAATGCAACATGGTGTCCATGTGTTTCTTATGGTTGCCTAGTTTTTACAAAGTCGGGTAGTAAAATAGCAACCAAAGTGCACTCTAATTCCCTGTGTATGAGATTTAATTGTGTTCCGCAAGAGCTGTAACTCCAAGTTATATGCTCTTAAACAGGAACCAAAGCCTTAGAGAATCACCATGAATTGTTCTGTGAAATTACAGCTGGAATCAGCATCTAAGGCAATGAAGATGAAAGAGTCCCCCCCCCAAAGAAAACCATATTGAATCTTTAACTTCTGGGTTCCAAGTACATCAAGACAACCCCACCTAACAGTAGGGTGGGCTTTCCTTCTAAAAAGAGAGCAGACTAACAGCTATTGGGGTGAAGGGTGCAGGGATTGAGCAAAAAAAAGAAAACTCATGGGTAAAGGGGGGATAAAGGGTGATGGACAGAAACTTGACTTGGGGTGGTGAACACACAACACAGGGTACAGAAGATGTGTTGTGGAATTGTCACCTGAAACCTGTATATATATATATTGTTAGCTAGTAAAGAAATTCAATAAAAGGGGGGGGGGCTCTGGAAACTCTTTTGTTCAAGAAGTCAAAAATGCCTCTTTTTTGAGACCAACATCTTATATAATTTTCCCAGCGGGAGCAGAGCAGGTCGTTAGGATCCTGGAAAGGAATTTAATAACCTCAAGAATGGGTGTTATGACCATATTGCCTTGGGCCCAGCCCCCCGAGGGAAGAAAATGGTGTTTACAGGTTGAAGGGCCCTTACTAGACCTCTGCTCAGGGGAGCCCAGAGTCCGAGCAAAGCACAAGCCACGGGTCACGCTGTCACAAAGGACAGAGGAAGGGAGTAAGAAACCACAGCAAGAGCGTCACTGACCCGGTCCCTGCACACGTGGGCATTTGCAGCGTTGGCATCCCTCTTTTAAGCTATGCTTGTGATATATTCAATAAATTATGGATTAGGTCTTTGGAAAATCAGTTACATTGACTTATTTTAATTTTAATTATAAGATATAGAAATGCAAATATAAAACTATATAATAGTGAAATATTACAGGTAGCAATTAATATTTTCCTAACTAAGATGATCTTTCCTCAAGACAGCATGAACGACTGTAGACCGCCCTGTTACCAAAGAGTCACACGTACCTGAGGGAGTGGAGCCAGCTCGTGGTGACACGCGACGGCATTCCGGTTGGCTTCCATAAAGTACCTCTGTGTGCGCCTCCGTTCCCGCTCCAGTTTCTTTTCCAAGGCCAGCTGGGATGTAGATAAGCTATCTACGTACCTCATCATAACATCCGATATCATGGAGCTGACTTCCACAATATCCGGCCGGGCTTCTGCATCAGCAGTGAGGCACCTAAGAGAAGATTCATTTGTTACTACACTCTGGTCGGCGTCAGGACCAGCCAGGGGACTGGGAAGGTGAAGGTTAAATTCCACTGCGTGTCTACCACGGTGTTAGCACGCAAGAGAACCTAGGGTAAGATGGACACAGTTTCGAATCCAAGACTTTTCCAAAGGCATCTGAAAAGGTTGGGAAGGAGAGGGAGGCAGCACTGTTCTCTTTACAACTGGACCGGCAGGGAAAGGTTCCAGCCTGAGCAGGAAGCTGCTCCTCGGGTCTCAGGATAGCAGATGGGGCGGGGGCGGGGGGATCTTCTCCTGTGTGGATTGGTTATTTACTAAAATCACCAGCAACTCACTGGCCAGTGAAACAAAGAAGGACACCGACGATATAGGCCTTGATGATCACCCCTGATACACCAAAAGGAAGAAAGGTTTCTGGGGGCTGGGGGGTCACAAATTAGTGGCCTTTTCCAGCTGTACATGGCAGATGTTAACACAACCTGATCAGTGAGTGTCTTACAGAACATGGGATCATAAAAGCAAAATGCAACCCAGTTACTTAAGAGTTTTAAAATGTTTGTAATAAATTATTTTAAAAGTAGCTAATTTGACACATTGCTTACTAATATTTTCTATGATTGGAGGTAGGATATATCAGCCTACCAAAGGGAGTGTTGTTCATGTCACAGCTAAACACTAACAGAAGGCCTTTCTAGGTGTCCAGGGAACCAGTTATCAAGATCACTGGGTAGCATCATTAAATGCTTCTGGAACTCACTATTTTCTCTATTTTTAAATTCAACTTCACTAAAATTATGTGTGCTTTTCAGTAAAATTAACTTGTTTGGACTTTGAGAAAAATAACTAATTTTCACATCTTGTATTTGATTTAGCAACTCACAGTTAATACAACTTGTACCTATACTGATGTCTCCAGGCAAGATTTAAGAATTAGTACACACAATTATTCTTCAAAATAAGACTCTAACATGTTACTATGCTAATTATTCTTTCTTACTGAGTTTATTAACTTTGAGGAAATTATACATCTTAATCAGATATGAAGACATTACCATTTCGTGCTTTATCTTTATGCATGTCTTTACTTCTTTTCAGGTTCTAAGGCAGTGGGCTTATACTATGGTTATGATTGGCACTTATACATCTTCTGAATTCATATAGAACAAAGTTCAGGCTGTGAACTTTATTATATACAGAGTAAGGCACAAGGTTGTGGAGACAGGGCCAGCTACATAATTTGTGTGGTTCCCAGTACAAAATGAAAATGTGGGGCCCCAGCAGGAGGGGGATGTCAATCTCCCCTTTCCACAGTCCAGCCTCCTAATGGTAGATGGGAGACTCCAAAGAGCTGCAACTTCCAAGCCCACAGGATGCAACTGGAAGTGGGCAAGAGGCCCCACTGGTTGCCCCTCCAAACACACCACGGAGACCTCTTCTTGGCCCCAACCCAAGACACAACAGGGCACAGGCTCCATCCTGACCCCTCCTACTTACATTCAGCAACACCCCACGAGGGATAAGGGTCAGAGTGGAACATAGGCCTCCCCTGCAGATGCACCCAACTGCCATACCAGGTAGGGGCAGGAGCCGTGATGGAGGCCAGGTAACTGCCCAGGGGACTGGGAGCAGATGGCTGGGAATCCACGCCGGGGAGACAGGGAGCATGAGCTGAGGCCCCAAGCCCGTAACATGCATGCTCCCTGACCCATCACATTTCACTTCCAAAAGACCAATTCAAAGATAAAATTGTTGCCCTCAAATGCAGCCCTCAGACCCTGAGCACGGGCTGATTTGAGTGCCGAGGCCCCGTGCATTGCTCGTGAACACGGAAAGCCGGCTTATGCCGCAGCGACGCATTTGTATTCAAGTTTCCTGCTTTTGTTCATAACCACAAAAGAAGCTGCGTGTAGAACTGCACCTTCTAGCTAAATCAGCTTCTTCCTCTGCCCTCACTTAATTAGCAAAAGGGATTAAAGCTCATAAAAAATGTTCAGTTGACCCAGTGTTGCTTATGATTGCTCTGTGAGAAAAAGAGCAAGCCCGGCATCTGAGCCTTTCATCCGTGCAGATACCTAAATCATTAGTCTGACAATATTTAAACTAATTCAGCATAATATTAGCAGTTGAATCATCAGCTGAGATTCTTTTAATCAAACAGGCAACATAAGCTTATTTTATAAATTATATGCTCATACATTATGGTAAATGGGAACCAGAATGGCCTCTGTTCTGGCATCTGCTCATCCCTCTCTCCCAGTTACGCCCCCTCCTGCTCTGCCACCCGAAGACACAGCTGAGCAGCATAAGGTCAGAAGGCCCTGGGTCACAAAGCTGGGGTTAAATCCTGGCTCACCCCTTCATTACCTCTGATCCTGGACAAGACTAGCTTCTGAGCCCCTGAGAGCCCATCCGTGAAATGGGGTCATCATAGTATCTACCTCATCAGGCTGGTATGGTGATTACATGAAGCCATCCCTGTAAAGTGCTAACACATTACGGAAGCCCAGTAAATGGGCCCTGGCTGGTTTGGCTTAACGGTTAGAGCGTCGGCCTGCAGTCCAGAGAGACCCAGGTTTGGTTCCCGCTGAGGGCACGTACCTCGGTTGTAGTTTGTCCCTGGCCCTGGTTGGCCGTGCGGGTGACAGCCATTTGATGTGTCCCTTTCACGTCGATGTTTCTCTCTCTCTCCCTCCCACTCTATCTGAACAAAAAATGGGAAAATGTCCTCGGGTGAGGATAAAAAAAGAAAGAAAGAAAGAAAGCCCAGTAAATAGAAAAAAAAATCCACTTTATTTCTCTTCCGCCACCTCCCACATTCAACCAAACTAAGTCCTGTGGCTACTACCTTTTAACTAATTTTTGGATCTGTATCCTTCCCCTCTAACCCCATAGCCACTGGCCTACTTCGTCATCACCTGTTTGGACTACTGTAATAATCTCCTGACACACTCAGCTTCTGTCCACCTCTGCTCCATATTGCAAAATGCTACCAGAATAATATTCTAAAACATCACATCACTCCTCTGCTAAGAATTGCTCAACAGCCCCTCAGTGGCCCAACTGGACAAAATTAAAATTCCCAGTATGCCATACAAGCCCCCTCTTGCACTGTCCCTTACCTCCCTCCACAGCCTCATGTCATCCTCTCCCCCTACCCCAGCAACACAGCAGATGATCCGACCTGTACTTTCCCAAATCGCCCAAGGCTTTGCTATGCTACCATTCCTCTGCTCGTTTTGTTCCTTCTGCTTGAATATGTTTTTTGCTGATAGTATCTGCCCTTTCCCAAACCACATCCATTAACTGCTTGCCAAAATCCCACTCTTTTGCAAGTCTCCATTAGTAAGACTTCATGGACCAGCCTCAGACAGACTCATTGTCCCCCCTTTTATATGTTCTTATTGCACTGTCTATATTTAAGCACTTAAAACTACTAAAATGATTGTACTGCAACGATCTGTTACACCACTAGAAACTGGAAACTTCATATATATATAAATATATATATAGAGAGAGAGAGAGGAAGAGAGCGAGAGATAGAAACAGTGATATGAGAGAGAAACATTGATTGGCTGCCTCCTGCTCACCCCCTACTGGGGATCAAACCTGCAACCCAGGCATGTGCCCTGACAGGAAATCAAACCGGCACCCCTCAGTCCATGGGACGATGCTCCATCCCCTGAGCCACACCACTGGGCAAAACTGGAAACTTCTTGAGAAGAGGGACTTGGTCTCCCCCAGCATGTAAAATGGAATCTGAGTCCTAAGAGGAACTTAGCAAATGAATGGAAGAAGAAACAAATTAACTAACTAACTAAAATAACCTAGCCTAACATTTAAGAAGTTACCTGGCCATAACTGAAAATATCTGGCCACCGACTTTGGGACTCCCGGGTACATCTCCTACCAGAAGTTCTAGTTCAGCTTCATTGCTTTGAAATGTCTCCCTGCTTCAATATTTCACAGAAATTCTTGAGAGCGACCCAATGCTTCAATGACTCTTTAATCAGATAAGCATAAAATCATGTTCCGGGAAAGAATCTGGGGTGTTCCACTCAAGCCTGCCCACTTAGTCCTCACCCTGCTCCGAGAGGCAGGTGGGAAGAATCAGGGCTAGGCGTCGGACTGTACTCCTTTCGTGTTGGAAGAAACAGCTGAAGGTGGGGTGAAGTGTAAGGATCCACTTGTCCTGAGAAGAGCTGACAGCACTGCATCAGTCTCACAACTGCCTCTGAATCAAAGGGCCGGCCAGCCTGTGCCACCCCGCACAGACAGACGAGAATAAGGCAACCGGGATACCTTGTGCATAATAAGGAATGTTCTTTCTTTTTAAAAAGGAAACGGACAATACTCTCTAGATGGTCTACTGGAAGATAAAAATAGTAATGCTGGTACTGTGCAGAGCAGCGAAATGGTTTTACTCTCCTCCCCTCACTCCTCGGGGTTGCTAAGATATTCTTCCAATTTAAAAGGCTGTTAAGGTCAAAATAAAAGATTCCAACGACCAAATGTGCCTGTCCACCACCTCAACAAACAGGAAAAAGGAAAGATGCCGCTCATTAGAAATACAAACTGTGTGAGCTCTGCCCGATGAGATGCAGAAAGTAAATAAGATAGTATGGCAGATGAAGAAAAAAGTATATGTGATTGGAAACAACACCTTGTTTAACATTAAGAATGAGTCTAGCGGATGTTCTCATCAATGGTTGGCTTGTGTTGCAAAAGCTCTACGACATTACTAGTGACTGGCTCTGAGCCTGGTTTGCTGAGTCATAGATGATCATTAGGAACACTTCTGCCTTGATGTGTCCCTGGTACCAAGTTCCTGAAGAAAACAGGAAATTGAATTTGTTCCCTAATTCTTTGGGAACTAAATTTTTAAAGACTGAAAATCCAAAGCAAATGAAATATGTGATTACATGCAACTAACTCATGACTGATTTTGGTTTTTTATGTCTAGAGATAAAACTTTGTTTGTGATGTGCACCCAGAGAGTCTTGAGTAACTTTAAATGAAAACAACATCTGTTACAGAATGCACCCTGCAATCTTAATTTATAGTCAATTATAAAACTAATTGTCAGTTCTTATTATGGCATCTTATTATTCTGAATAAAAGTGATCCTCAACAACATTTCATCTAGAGTCTCTTAATAGTGCTCATTCACTCTCTTAAACATTCCTGTGACAGGGAGCTCAGCACCACCCAGTGACCTGCTCCGCTGTGTCTCCCTAATTCTGACACACACTTCCGAATGGGGAACTGACCTTGGCCTCCTCGGCATTTCTACTCCATGGTCTTGGCTCCATTCCCTGAAGTTCCACAGAATAAAGCTAATTGCTTTCCTATTTTCAATGTCATTACACTGTCCCAGTCAAGTGAAATATTGCCTAATCCTCTTATCATTGTACCCCACAACTTGTCGACCCAGTTTCCAACCCACAGGGGAAACAACCCCACTTCTCTCCATCAACACCAACCCCACTCCGGTCCAAGCCGCCATCACCCCTCGGCGGACAGCTCCTTCTGCCTCCCACGCTCCTGCCCTCCAGTCTGTCCCCACAGAGCAGCCAGCATGATCTTTGCTATCGGGGCCATTTCACTGTGTCCCAGACTGTGAGTAATGCTTTAGTCCTCTCCTCGAGATAAGTCTTCAGAACTCTCAATGTGGCCTACAGGACCTGGTCGATCGGTCCGTGTCAGCCTCCCCCGGCCCTAATCATTTGCTTGTTATGCTCTCTCTTACTTAACATGCTACATCACCAATTTCTTTCAGTTCCTCAAACTAGCAAGCTCTTTCCCCCAGGAAAGCCGTCACAGATGCTGGTCTATAAGATGCTTTCTCTACCCTGTTTGCCACTTGAGAATTGTTCAGGTGTCAGATTACATGTCTCTTCTTCACGGAGACTTTTCCCAAATCCCCAGACGAGGCCAAGTCCTTCTGTAATCTCTCATTGTCCCTTTACTATGCTTCATCAAATTTATCGTAATTTGTTTTATATACTTAATTCTATCCATAATACTGTCACTAATGACAATGCCTAGTTTTATTGAGTGCTCACTGCACGCTGGGTACTGGGCCACGAGCATCACAGACTTATCTTATTTAGGCTTCAAAGCAAGCCCAGGAGTGGTTAAGATCACTACCCATCCACCACAGATGAGTGGAAGAGTGGGAATCTGAATCCAGTTGGTTCCAGAAGCTATTGCTGCTCCTAACCTTTTCATGATAATGTTGACCTATGACTCTGCCACAGCCTCTTGGCCCCAAGAGGCATGGATACCAATAGCCAGTGAGCCTGTCAGCTGCAAATTGTGGCCCTATTTGCCCGGTGTCACAAAATCAGAATAATGACTCTGTTCTTTTTCTCTGTACTACCCCTCCCCAGCTCTTTGTGGCAATCAAATACCTATGAAAAGGAGAAATAAATTTGTAAACCTGCTACTCGTGCCTTGTCATCTCTGGAGATTTGAACTTTTAAGGCAGTTCACAGAAAACAAATAGTAGAGAACGGACACATCACAGAGATGAGCAGTTTAAATACATTCATCTGGATTCATTAGCAACAAGGCACGATGTAGTATACGCAGAATTCAGATGATTTAGGAAGGGGTGTCAGCTCATTTCCTGTAATAGTAACAATGACAACCGCCAACATCGGTCAAGATTTACCATGTGCCAAGCTCTCCGCTAAGTGATGTGCATACGTTACTTTGTATAATCATCAGGCCAGCCTGATGAGGTTGGTGCTATCAGAATCCCCATGTTACTGAATGAGGAAACAGAGATGCAGAAAGAGTGATCAAGTTGTTTGTTCAGAGTCTGCAGTTAGTGAAACTCAGCCGGAGCTGGGCCCGAGGCTCTTGGTTCGGCAGCACAGCTCTGTGCTGAACAAGGAGACTCGGGACACAATCCTGCAAGCGTGTGAGGAGTACCTGTCAGTGCCAGTCGGGGCTGGAAGGAGAAACCAAAGGGAAAGGGGCATAGCCCTGGTAATATGTCTATGACATCCCACCAGAGATGGTGCTAAGTGCTGGGACAGAGATTGCACCAAGCTTTAAGGGAATTGGGCAGGGGCATGGATAAAGATTCTTATCTCAGGTGACTCTAGGGTTTCCATTATAATAATGAGAATATGACTCAGCTCCATGAGGCAGACAAGTAATCTTGGGCCAACTTAAGTGCATAAAATGGTCCAGAAATAATAATCAGTCAGATAAATGAGAGCTGTTTCTTCATATAATCAGTATTTGTTAAGGGCCAGCTTTGTGCCAGCCGTTGCTTTGGGCACTGAACAGCTATGCGCTAAACTGAAGAAGTCCCTGCTCTTGAGGAGTTTGCATTCCGGTGGGGACAGAGAAACAATAAAGAGACAAGTCTGCATACACACGGATGAGAGGTCCAGCGATGGGCACTGTGAGCTGTGTAAAGCAGGCAAGGGCACGAGAGGGCAGAGAGGCCGTGCGGGCAGCAGGGCAGGCTTCCTGATACGAGGGCACTCCAGCAGAAACCAGAGGAAGTGGGGCCTGGGCTATGCCTGCTTCGAGACGAGAGTTCCAGAAAGAGGGAAGTGCAAGGACCAGTTCCAGAGGGAGAGTGCACACCTGGATGGACAGGAGCTCCCTGTGGCTGGAGAGGAAAGAGGGAAAGTGGGAGGGGGCGGGGGGAGGGATCAACTGACACAGGCCCTGTGGGGTCAGGACTTTGCAAAGGGATAATGCCTTCCATTAAACTCCTACTATTATTGATAAATGGAAAAATTCTTCCCAACTTTCTTTGACAATTTATTATACCATAAAACACTACTGATTTAAAAATAGAAATGAAAAATGCTTACATTTTTATCTAACATGGCCTTTTTCCATTTCATATGTTCTTGTCCAGCCTTTTCCCACATTCATGCCTATGTTTTAGGTTTCTGTCGTAGTTATAAGCAACTCTGCATCCTGTTGGACTTGGGGTCCTACTGCACGTGTTCCACAGGTTGATACAAAGCCTTCGGAATCATCATCCCAGTGGCTGCGCAATATTTCAAGTACACGTACTACTTCCCCTTGGACACGTCATGGCTTCCAAATGGTCACTACTACTGATGATGCACAAATATTTTTCTAGGTTTGGGTTATTTGGGAGCCCTTCCTCTGCATGAACATTTACAAAGTGAATCTTTGTAGATGTGAGGTATTTCTTGAAGATCCCTGTATGTCCCAAGTTGGGGACTAATTACCTGCTGATGGTATCCGACACTTTCTCCGAGTAGATGCCTTCTGGCACTGGCTCATACACCGCCTCCACTATCTGCAAGACAGAAAGAGTAGAGTCACGGAGGCCAAGGGCCCACTGGTCTCTCTGAGCAGGAATGCTTGGCCACCACACGAGAGTTAATAAGTGTTATAACTTTGTGCACAATTTTAATCAGGAGCTAAAGCATCCCAACAAATATAAAATTGACATCAATTAAATAGATCTTGAACTTGGAAGTATAGTCTTCAAGCTGAGCTCAAATCAACCTGAGATGCATATAAACGATGTCTAGGATGACATAATATGTTGGATCATGGGTAGTCCAAACTGCAATTAAGAATAACAGACCAAAAGTAACTTGACATAATAATTTTATAGTTCTCTGATAAATAAAGACAACTATGGGGGGAAATGTGCCATAGCACATGATGTAGATTTAGAAGAAAGGGAGAAAAGTAAACTGGATCACGTGGGTGATAAAACCATGCCTGCTGCTAATTGACAGATTTATTAAAGTCACGAAGGTTCTGTTTAAGAGGAAAAGGAATGGCATTTTCAGCACCAGGAGACCCGTTAGTGTGCCAGGCTTGCTTACTTTGGTCGCCAGGGAGAGCATGTTGGTGCTGTAGAAGGGAGGACTCAGCGTGGCCATCTGATAGAGGATGCAGCCTGCAGCCCACACGTCAGCCTTCTCCCCGTAGGGCTCACTCTTCAGTACCTCCGGGCTGAATGGACACAGGGATGTTAGCAGACACTGAAAAGGGCAGCAGTGAGCACAGAAACAAGTCCGGTTTCCAAGCCATCGTTGGAGATATAAGAAAACTATCACTATTTCAGCTACACATATTAGAAAGTATCTCTGAATTCTCTGACTTGGATGAACCACAAGCAAGCAATTCCAGTTTAAGCACTAATCGTCAGTGGACCAGAAGCACTGCCTACGAAGTGTCCAGGGAAGTTTCCATTTCCAGAAGCAACCACTTCCCTGTGCTGGATGGAATTATCGGCTCCAATTCTTTGCTATTCTGGAGACTTTGTGTGTCTCACCCTTGCCTCGTGGCAGGCAGCGTGTGTTACCCACTCCTGCCTTTGGCTGTGATTGTGTGCCTGGCTTTGGCCAGTGCAATGTGGACGGGACAGTGCACCAGATCAGGGTCTCAGTCTAAACAGGTTCGAAGGCTTCCCTTTGTCCCCCTAGGGCCTTCTGTCCGTTACCGACAGAAGAACATACTCCAGGTAGCTGCTGCCCTCCAGCCTGGGCCTGCAGTAAGACACGTGGAGCAGGTCTGCCCCCAGACAACCCAAACTCCTGCAGCCTGCAGGCGAGCCAGCCCAGAAGGCCCACAGACCTGTGAGTCTGACAGCAAGTGCTTATTGCTGATGGTTTCTTACACAGCATTTTTATGGGGGAAACTGACCAACACAGCACTTTCCTTTGCTATTCAACTAACTTGTAAAATAGGGGGGAAACTATATTTAAACATGTTGCAGGAAATGACAACACCCATGGTGTTCATCTTCTCTGAAGTCGTATTTCCAATCTGGCGAGGATGCTGTCAGCCTTCAAATGAGGTGAAGCTGTGAAGGACGAGTCGGGCGGGCTTTTCCATTTTTTACGTGGAGGGGAGTGTCATCCCCTTGGATATCTTGGACTAGGGAAGTCTCTAGTATCATATTTGTAAGATGAAACTCGGCAAAGTGTCAAAAGCACTCAGCACCCACACACCCCACATTAAGTAGCTAGATAATTCAGCTCTACAGTGTGTACTTAGGACTGGGCTGAACTCTCCAAATCAATGGAGTGGGAATCAATGGTTAACTTGGACAGGGGATTGAGGTTTAAAGAAACTGGTAAATCGGTATCTGAACAGAGTAGGTCTAATTCAGTACTGCCTGCTAAGAATAACCTAGGAGTCGCTATTCTTGTGAGACGATGGACAATCCCTGGTTTAAGATTCACATTATGTATTTGCAGAGGAAAGTGTGATTTTTCGGTCTCTCAGTTAAGCATTGTCATATTGGGTGTTTTTTTAATTCAATAATATGGCAATAGGGGAATCTGGGGTGAAATTTTCAGGGCTCTGCTGGCCCCAAGTGAACAAAAATGTGTCTCCTGTTATCACCTGATCAACTGCTCACATTTAAAAAGAAATGCCTAATGATAATGTCCTCGAGAGACTGATGTCCTTGGCTTCCCACAGACAAATTTCTCATGTTTTTATCTACTGAGAACGCAAAGGTTTGCTTCCTGTTACCAAGCGCTCACGAAGCAGCCCTCCGCGTGCCCCGCCAGGGCCCTGCACCCCTCCACGTCCTGCTCCTGCTGGGCCGCCACCCTCTGGCAGCATCTGCACCTTCTCCTCAAACAACAATTCCTCGATGTGGGCAAACACTTGCAGGAACAGTTTGCTCAGTTTATCACCACATCTCCTCCTCTTCCTTGCTGGAGACCACGAACTGCTCCCATTCCCACAGGCGTGTCCCCTTTCCAAAGGCTCTGCAGGTCCTCCCATCGGGGGGGGGGGGGTGTCTACTACGCCACCCATGGAGTCTTGGCTTGCCCGTCTGACTTGCTTTGGCCAAGGAGACATCAGCAAAAGGGATGAGAGGAGATACTTGGAAAGCGCTTACTCTTTGGGACTCTCTCTCTTTCTGCTCTTGAAAACCCTATGAATACCACCAGGTAGGTGGCTGAGTCCAGGCTTGCCACAGTCAGCCAACCAGCAGACCTGTGAGTGAGCCATTGGAAACCAGGTGACCACAATGCCCACGTGAGCCCAGTCAACACTCTGATCTACAGTCCCCGCTGCGACCAGCCCACTATGCAGCACACAGTGTATTGGGGGGAGGGGGGGTAGTGATTGCATTAACCCATTAAGTTTTGAGGTGGTTTGTCAAAGTTCACTGGTATGATAGCTTTCATCGGATTCTCAATGCTATCCATAGGTCCCTCGAAAAGACTGAGACTCACTTCTCTGGAAGAGAATAAGAAAAAGAAATAAAAGACAACTCAAGTGATAACTATCACTTTGCTTCTGGGATCACTTCAATTAACCCTCTAAGCTCAGAGTTTCATAAGTATATCTCAAAGCAAGGACACACTGAAAATAGAATCTGACTTCCAGAAGCCACAACAAAATGTTCGTTATAGTCTGAACTGTGTCCCCCAAATTTTATATGTTGCAGCCCCAATTCCCAGTGCCTCCGAACGTAACTGTAATTAGAGGGCCGGTACATACAGGATGATTAAATCAAGAAGATGCCATTAGGAAGGCCCTCATCCAATGTGACTGGAGTCCTAACAAAAAGAGGAAGAGACACCTGGACACAGAGGAAGAGGTGCTGGACACAGCCACCATGGAAAGAGGCGGCAAGAGGGCGGTCACTGCAAGCCAAGGAGAGAGGCCAACGAGGAAACCAAATCTACCAGCATCTGGGTCTTGCACTTCTAGCCTTCAGAACTCTAAGAGATTAAAATACTCTTCTTCATGCCGCCCAGTCTGTGTATTTTGTCCCAGCAGCCCTGGCAAACGAATGCAGGTTCTATGAGAAAACCTACTCACGTGTTTTTCACCTTCAAAAAGAACCCAGCCTTTGGGAAATATGGCTAACACTGCTGATTCAATCACAACTTACAAATATATGGGGTTTTTTTTAATAATTACTGTTTAGAAAACCATTGTAAAATAATTCAGCCTTGTCATAATTTCTAATATCTCCACTTACAGTGAGCACAACTACCTTTAGAGAAATAACAGAGTTACAGCCACAATGTTTCATCTAAGAGAAAAGAGTAAAGTAGTACACACAATTTAAAATGTATTTTCTTTTGCCCAAATGACCAAAAAAAATTTCTGTTTTTTTTTTTCATAGGTTATTCCTACATGATTTGGTCACGGAACATGTTTTTGCTGATAAAATAGAGCATAATTTACATATTTACCAAAAATAAGGGTGCATCTGGCAAAGACGAAAACATCTACAATTAAGTTATACTTCAATAAAAAATATCATGTTTATTTATTATTGCTGACCTAGTGTACAGCATGGTGACTATAGTTAGTAATAATGTATCATATACTTGAAATTTGCTAGGAGAGCACACTCTAAGTGTTCTCACCATATGAAAGGTTATTATGTGAAGTAATGGGAATGTTAATTACCTATCATTTCCCAATGTGTATACATATTAAAACATCATATTGTGTACCTCAAATGTATACAATTTTGAATTGTCAATAATACCTTAATAAGGCTAGAAAAAAATTTATGTGTGCTAGAAGTAGTATAGGTTTAGGTAGATGGCAAGGCACAATGCATACTTATTACAAATATTTTAATAAATAAGTAAACATAATTCATAATCAGCAGACTCTGACAGGGGGCTACAGTAAAATTTATACAAGTACCACCTCTGTTTTACAAAAGCCACAAATTCACAAATTGGTAGTGAAAACAAGGTAGCAGAAAGATGAGGAAGAAAGGGTGTTTAATGTAATTTTTTAAAGCCAAACTGTTTAGATTTTAAAATTGCATTAGTAGTTCCTCACTGATACATAAACAATGAAGTTGCTAATTGCTAATGTTTATTTATTCACTGAGATCAACAAAGAAAATATTGAACCTAGATGTTTTTCAGAATGTTCTAAAATATGAACATTAAATATGAATACTTAGTTCATAAATAAATCAACAATGTGATGATTTATATAAGTTGGGAGAGGACACTCTTTCCTTTAACTGTAACAAAGCGAATGCGAAGAGACGACATGGTAAAAGGCCCTGTGTGAGGACAAGCATGTCCCTTCTGCCAGGAGTCAGACTGCAGGCTTTGCTGGAAGTCTGACTGTTGCGCTCTCTCTGTCAGAGCATACACCAAAATTAGAACTATGCAGCAAACGTTGGGGTGATCTCTGCACCAGCATGGCATGCAAATGTGCAAAGCATTCCATATTTGGAAGACAGTACGATGACAGGCAAAAGGTACTATACAACTATACCCTAGTTAATGAAGCTGTTTCCCACAGGGGTAAAAGTTAACGGGTTGATACTGCTATAGATGTATGCTGGAGGTGAACGTTGAAGTAAATGGATGGCAGGTGACAGATGGCAGAAGCCAGGTTTCTCACTGTTGGAATGAAATGTTACAAATAAACCAGGAAACCAGTAGGGGGACTTGACAATGGGATAACAGATTAGAGTTGGAGAGAACAGTATGAACTCATGTTTAGCTTACTATTTTTTTTTTCTTTATTGATTTTAGAGAGAGAGGAAGGGAGAGGGAGAGAGAGATAGAAATATCTATGAGAGAGAACATCAATGGACCACCTTCTGCGTGCCCCCCACTGGGGATCAGGCCCACAACCTGGGCATGTGCCCAGACCGGGAATCGAAACAGCGACCTCTTGGTGCATGGGTTGACACTCAACCACTGAGCCACACCGGCCAGGCTAGCTTACTATTAATACAGTTGGTTACATATAAATTATTTACAGATGTGTGCATATGCACAGGTTAGTATGCACATATATCTCCTTTCTCCATCGGCTGAAAAGACCTAGAAAAAATGGTACCCCAGGAGCAATAAGTACCCTTAGCACAACAGCTTGGTTTGTAATATCATTCTCCAATAAAAAGAATCAAGACTCCTTGGAGAAATGACTGATTCTAGGACTGAGGGAAAGAAAAAAAAAAGTACTGAATGTGCTGGAGCATCTTGTAGTGC